GTCCCCGTCTCGCTCCCCCGCGCTCGTCTCCACGTCGCTGTTGTCATCTTTAATATCGCGCGGAGACATGAAAAGCCGAAAGTTGCCTCTTTTCCTGCCAGGTTAAATTGTTCGTCAGGAATGTCTATTATTCCCACAAGTCGACTTTCCCCTCCGTGGTATGTGTCCAGGGGTCAGGCCTGGCACTACATGAAAGTGGAGGGTATTCAATAACCTAGAGCCGTGGAAACCACGTCGCTGTTGTCATCTTTAATATCGCGCGGAGACATGAAAAGCCGAAAGTTGCCTCTTTTCCTGCCAGGTTAAATTGTTCGTCAGGAATGTCTATTATTCCCACAAGTCGACTTTCCCCTCCGTGGTATGTGTCCAGGGGTCAGGCCTGGCACTACATGAAAGTGGAGGGTATTCAATAACCTAGAGCCGTGGAAAGGCTTCGGTCCAACTCCAACCATGCTCAGGCTTTTATTGATGCAGCATGCCTTTCCCCATTTGTTTCCTATAAACAGCACATGGTAGTATTTAGTAGGTTTCAAACAGAGCTTTTTGCATATTCTCCCTCGTCTACAATGAGCTACTTGGTAGTAGACAGTTTTAATTTACTTAATGCAATTTTTGCTTTTTGTTCTTCCAGAGGGTCTGGGCTGTTTTTGACCCAGTGGCCCCAGCAAATTGCTGGGAGCTTTGCAGCTCCTCGGGGCAGGAGCCTGCGAGCGGCTCCGTCCTGGCCGCGGGACACGCGGGGACACGCGGCGCCCCCGGCCCCGCAGCTGCCCGAGGTTATCTCGGGAGATGCTGGGTGCCATTAAGGCTATCGGGGCCTTTCTCGTGGGTCTGGTTCTTGCTGCCGCCGTGTCACAAAAGCTGCCACTGTCTTCCTCTTCCTCAGGGCCAGTGTGGGGACGCAGAGCAGGGGATGATGTGGGGACAGGCCCTGGGCACAAGATGCGAGCCCGGCTGGTTCCGCTGCCCCAGGCAGAGGGAGCGGCGCGCGGGGCTGCGACGCGCGGGGCTGTGCGGCGGCTCCGCGCTCCTACGTGTGCCGCATCCCCCACACTGCAAATGCGGACCTGGGATGCGGGGCCGGAGCAGGAGGCAGCGGGA